CAATACTTACTCTGTAGCCAGAAGTTTTGTTCTCTTGGATTCACAGGGTGTGTCTACATGTGCATTTAGGTACGCCTAAATTTAATGCTCATTAGCTTAATGTGCATTAAAGTGATTTAGGCTCACATCTACACATGCACTCATTAAAGGGTATTAACACCGTGTGAGTGGACTAACATGAGACTAAAGTTAGTCCCAAGTCAGTCCATAAAGTGTTAATGTGTGTTAATGTGCTTTAGCTGTTCATGCCTAAGCAGGTATCAAATTTAGGTGCAAATAACCTAAAACCTCATTTGAAGGCTCATTAAAATTGTGTGGCTACATGCGCGTGCCCTTAATGCGCCTTAAATCAGGCTAACACACCTCAAATCAGCATGCACAGATGTGCCCACTGTCTATTTGGCAGCCAAATACATTGTGCAGCAAAGCTAATAAAACTTTTGACTTTGCCACACATTTAAATAATTTATTTAAATGGATGGAACAGCTGGTAAAATTTCATTCTGTATTTTTTTTCCAGGTGCACTACAATGTTGGCAAGAATTTGGCTGATAAAGGCAATCAAACAGCTGCTATCAAATATTACCGGGAAGCTGTAAGGTATTATGAATTTATTGTTTTGCTAAACTAGCCCCAGAGTACTTTATTTTCTCAGGACTAGTAAGACTGAAATCATGTTTAGGACAGTGGGTGTTGCAGTGCAAAAATGTTGCAGCATTATTTAAATAACTAACAACCTAGTAGAAAAGTATCTCATTTCCCTATAAGTAACAATCTTCTGTATTCTAGGTTGAATCCCAAATATGTACATGCCATGAACAACCTTGGAAACATCTTGAAAGAAAGAAATGAGCTCCGGGAAGCAGAGGAGCTGCTGTCCTTAGCTGTGCAAATACAGTATGTCAAAAAAAAATGCCAAGCATTGTTGCTTGTCAAGTAAGCACAAACAATACAATAGGATCTTGTATTCCAAAAGCTAAAATGTATTTTAAAAATTTGCCTAGGCCTGATTTTGCTGCTGCATGGATGAATTTAGGAATAGTCCAGAATAGTTTAAGAAGATTTGAAGAGGCAGAGCAGAGCTATTGGACTGCAATTAAACACAGGAAAATATACCCAGACTGTTACTACAATTTAGGACGTTTGGTAAGTATTCTTGATTGAAATGGAAATTGCACATATGACTTAAAAGTACTTATAATGTAATAGCTAATTTTGAATTAAAATTCTGCTTCATTGCTCAACCTTGACAACAATTCCAATTTGCTTCTGTGTGGATTAGGGAAGCTTTATGTTCTCAAGGCTCTTTTGTCACTATCCCGGCATACTTTCTTCCTACAAAAAATGCAAACAATGCACACTGCTTAAGTTTATGCAAAAAAAATAAACAAAAATTGGGAGAAAAATCTAAATTTTTTACAACTCTACTTTTTTTTCTTCTTCCAGAAGATAATTACTATTCTCTTGTTAAAATCTTGGCTTCAGTTGTAATTGATATATTCAACAAAATATTGTACAGAGCCATATCAGGAAAATAATTCAATTTAGAGTTCTAATATATGTAGCTATCCTTTTCTTTTAAAATCAGTGAAAAAACCATGTGTATATTTAAAAATTTGCATGAGTGGGACAAAAACTGAACAGAAAATTGATTGCTTCCCAATACTCTTTACATCCAAAGATTTT